ACACTTTCCTGGCAACTTCTGCTAATCCTGGACATGCATTGAGGTTCTGTGTCAGCCCCAAAGCATCCCCCAGGCAGGAGGATCCCTCTGCCCTTTCCTTTTCTCTGTCCTGAAACTGGGAGAGAGGCTTCTGTGTGGTAACTGCAAGGATTGGGGCAAGTGCCCAGTCCTTTAGGTCCCCAGATCGCTGTCTCTCTCCTTTTTCCATAGCTGGGGGTTGGCATGAGGGGCAGGGTCCAGAATAGGAAGCCTGTTCAGGCTCTGCCAGGGGCTGCAGACCCCCTGGGACCTGAGTTGTAAGCAGTAGACAAAAAGCCTATGACAAAAGGCCTGTGGGAGCCTCAATGAATAGATTAATGAGATCTCCATACGGAGGCCCCACAATGGGATTCTCCAGTCCTTTTGTCCCAGGCTGAGATAATGGAGCTGGAGGAGGCTTGCCCAGAAGGGGGCATCAGCCTCCTCTACTACAGCTGAGCTGAGTGGGGTCCAGATGCCTCTTCTGCACTATACCCCACCTCCAGTGGGTAATGGAATCTGGAATCAGAATTTCTGAGGTCTGAATGGGCTTATGGGGAATGGAGAGAGGTGCCATATGACACTGTGGTTGCCATATATCCCCAAACAACTCTAAATTGTGCCACTTAATTTTTAAAATTTCACAATTTTAGTGAAATGGTTGGACTCCTCCTCTGCAGCCTATAGTTACTGACAGAGTGTAAAGCAGAGAGGGGAGGCAGCTGGCTGGTGGCCACACAGTGACAGCATGGGGTCTGCTGGTTAGGCTGTCAAAGTTTGGGCCAGGCCTGGAGCACAGGGACAGGTGGGGCTCTCTTAGGCAGGGAGGCGGTACAGGTCTAAGGCTGGTTGTGAAGGCTGAATCACTTCTTTGCAGTCGTGGGCTTCCTTGAAATGAGAAGTGGGGTTGTAGGAAAAACTTTATTCTTATATCAGTAGTTCTGTAACCATTGATGCCATACCCTATGCTTTACTCAGAGTCCCAGCTACCACTAGGGTAAGCCACAAAACCCAAACCAGGGTTTTGGTCAGCTCTGGTCCACATGCAGTTGTGTGACTGCATATCCACAGGGAGAGAGACAGCTTATTTTGGGCTGCTTGGCCAGAAGGATACAAATTCACCATGAGGTCTAAAGACCAAATCCGCAGTTCTGGGAGACAGCTATGTCTACAGGAAGATATTGAAGCCATTTTCTTGGGCTGTGACTCCCTCCTCAGGCTGAGGGACAAAAGGACAGGACTTGGAGACAGGCGCTGTGGGAAGATGTCAAGGGCCAGAGTTGTTTTGACTTCTATCTTTTGTGGAAGCTGAGTGATCTTGGAGAGGTAGGGCTCTCTCTGCGTCTCTGTCTCTTGTGGAGCAGCAACCCAGGGGAAGCACAGAGCAGGGGTCTATGAAATGGCATGTGGACCAGCTTGTCCTGTCCCGCTGGAAGGAGTCTTCTAGCCAGCTCCTTGCCCCAGCCCCCAGTCAAGTGACCTGTTCAGCTGAGTCAGAGAGGGGAACTACTTGGGACTTGTAGTTTGTACTGCTTTTCACACATCATTTTACATCCTCAATCCTCTTATGTATTATGCCCTTTAACCTGGAGAAAATGAGGTTCCATAAGGTTGAGTCGTCTGCTCAGGGTCCCCTGTAAGTGTCTGGATGTGGCTGTGAAACCAGCCTCCCTGATTCAGGGCTCCACTCTTGCCCAAGTCCTGGTGTTCTCACCCCTGGCTCTGAGGACCCAGGGCCCATAGGATACAGTGAGTTGGGACAGAAGGGGAAGGTTGGCTGTGTGGGAATGTTAAGGGCTAACAAGGGAGGAGGGAATTAGTGATCTCTATCCACTGCAGGCCCCGCTTGTGTGGTTTGATCTGTGAGGAAGCAGCTGGGACCACTCTTCAGTGTGTATGCAGCACAGGTGCTTTTGCTGGGGACCTGCACTCTCAAGGGCGCATGAACCTAAATCTGTACATACTCTTGCAGTCCAGTGTGTCTCTGGGATCCTTTTTGTTATCACTTTCAACCTGAAAGCAGATCGTGGAGCCTGACCTCCCTTCCTTTTTTGTTTGGGCCCAGGCCTTAGGCACTCAGAATCAGACCAGATCTTTGTCTTTCCCCTCTCTAGGCTTGAGGGAAAGGCAATGCTCCGGAATTCAGCTTAGTTGCTAGAGGCATGGCTCCTTGCCTACCTGCTAGCCTAAAGAACATGTGGCAGATCATTGTTACCACACATAGACAGCAGTCACCAAAAGAAGGGGTGCAGAGTCAGGCTGGCAGCTAGTGGGGGACCCAGGGCCAAAAGAGGTCATCTTGGAGATGTGATGAGTTACACTCATGGTGGGGAAGAGCTAGTACGCAACAGCTGGGTTGGACTGAAGGGGCCAGACCAGATGCTTTGTTGGGTCAAGATGGGGATCTACAGCTGAGGTGGGTGGGTCATCAGGCTTTTGGCCTACAAGGTGTATACAGGTGCAGGTAAAAATGGCTTTGTTTTTCTTTTTTCCTGGCCAAAATAGAAAGACTATGACCTAAAGTATCTGAGGAGACAAGCCTGTGATTAAGTAGTCTGGGGTGACATGCCAGGTATCAGGTGCCCTACAAAGAGGGCTGATTTCTGCAGAAGAAAGTGAGAATCAGGCTCAGAAGACAGGACAAAGTGGAAGTGGGCCCATAGTCTGATGAGTGATTCCCAGTGGTACCTGGTGAAGGCTTAAGACTGCCTGGCAAGGGAGAAAGAAACTCACAGAGACAAGTTCAGGCCTGTGCCTTACTGTGCCTTTCTTACTGTACTGATAACCAAGGAGCCAGAGCACAGGTGATATAGTAAGTTGGGGTGGACCCTGGGTTTGATGTAGTAAAATGTCATTTGCATTTGTGTAACTGATGTCACTTCCTGTGACCCATTGTTGGATTAATAGTGACTGGATATCCCAGGAAAACTGCCCCTTTGTCACCAGGTAACGGCTCATCTTTGGAAACCCCTCAGCAGGAGCTGGGAATTTGAACACATATCCCTTCTCTTCTGTTTGTTCTCCTTTCCAGCTGCTGCCGCCCTCCAGAACTATCACCCTCCTTTTATGTACGAGTGCACAGCTCATGCCTTTTCTAGGTGGACCAGCAGGACTTTTGGCTATAAGGTTGACAGAGATGTAGATTAAAGGGAAAATTTCATTTCCCAAGGGTCAAGTAACAGGCACAAAAGTAGAGAGAATGACCAGCCACTGCCAGTATGGATGCACATACCCCATCACTCCAGAAACAGCATTTCCTGGTCTTCTCTGTAGGCTCAGAGTGTGTAGTTTTGTAGGTGTGCACTGTACAAGGGCCCAGTGTAGCTGTGTAGGTTGTGATATGTCTCCAGCAGGTGGCAGTAAAGTGCCCCAAGGGTTTGATTTACTTGGTGCCACTAAAGCTGGTGTTAAACTCCAGGGCTCTGTAGTGCAAGGACTGCAGGTGTGCATAACTCCACCTGTCCTGCTAGCCCTGAATGAACTGTTCCCGACATCCGGAGTGCACTGCTCCCTGTAACTGTTCAAGATGCCATAAAGATACTAGCTCTTTGGTGAGTCCTTCTCAGCCAGGAGAGCCACGTTCTCCTGAGCCCCAAGGCCTCAGGCACGGCCCTCTATCTTCTTTCTTCATGACAGATGTTATTTACTTGCCTTCTTCGGCTGGCTGAGCCATCCTAGCCACCCTTTAACCTAGTCCCATGTCTAGTTAAAGCACATAGCATTTGCTCAATACAGTTTTTGCAAAGAAGCTAGAGGTAGTGCTCCATAGTGTTTACTTGGCCTGCAGGAGGCTTGGATTCAGTCCCTTGTGCAGCAACACACACTCCAAAGTTTACTGAAGGAAGAACCTGCTAAGTAAGATCACAAAAAGCTTTGGCTTGAGAAATAGTCACCACAGAACTTGGGTCTGGGTGTGCTGTGGCCTCATTTAGTCTTCGAAATTTTATTCTTCAGTCAGGGTTAGCTTATTGGAGCCATGTGCCAAGACAGTACTGTTCCTCAGGCCACGAATCTCTCACTACTTCAGGACTCAAGCCTTGATGGGTGCCAGAGGACAGTTTAGGGACCAGCCTTGGGACCTTTTTTGTTGTCAATGGTACAGAGACACTGTGGTATCTCACAGATCTGCTCTGTGACCCTCCCATACCAGGGACATTTGTTCCTTCTGAGAACTGGTATTTTGCAAAGTGAGTCTGATCACACCTCTCTATTTGGTGACTGGGAAGCTTAAAACAAATTAGGGTTCACCTTTTTTTTTTTTAACCCCTCCAGTGCTGGTGATAGAACCCAGGTCCCTGAGCATGCCAGGCAGTACTTTACTGGCCCTGGGATGCACTTAATGTGACCAGCATGCTCCATGCTAACCCATATACCTCAGCAAACTATATGCCCATTCCAAATAATGTTTGTGAGGCAAGCTACATGCTTTGGATAGAGCAGGTAGGAGTACCTGCCCAGCCTCTATAACTATTATAAACAGCAGTTGTCAGGTGTCTGATTTCTTTAGGCAGAGGTACAAAGAAAAGAAACAGCAAGGAAATAAGTATTGTTGGATTAGCCACTGTGGTTTCCAGGGTCTATGGGCAGGATCACACACCAGGGCACAAGGTGAACAGAGCATCTCAGAATGACAACCCGTTGGACCTCTTAGCCAGGAGCTCTGGGCTTGCCAGTACATAGTGGGTGAGCAGCAAGTGTCTGTCACCCGCCTGGCCCTTCTTATTAGACCCCAATAATGACCTTTGTTCCATAAAGGGGTATAGCTAGTGTGGTGAGAATAACTATTGCCTGATGTATGCTGTTAGGGCTAACATGGCATTTCTGGGTTCCTCTTGGTGCTGAGGAAACTATTTTTTCTTTAAGAACTAATTCTAGGTCCCAAGGGTGGAAGGGTAGGTTGTCATCATCCAAGTGTAGGGCCCACCAGTGGGTCCCCAGGGCCACTGCAGGGGCTGACCAGTCACCACTCTTCTTGCCTGCAGCTCTTTCGAAGATGCACTGGACACCAGAACACGCCCAGCCCCTCAACCAGTGGCCAGAGCAGCATCTGGACATCTCCTCCACTACTCCATCGCCGGCCCACAAATTGGAGATGCCTCCAGGGGGTCGCCAGCGCTGCCACTACGCTTGGGCACACGACGACATCTCCGCCCTCACTGCCTCCAATCTCCTCAAGCGCTATGCTGAAAAGTATTCCGGAGTCCTGGACTCGCCCTACGAGCGCCCAGGCCTGGCCAGCTACAGTGACGCCGCTTTCCTCAACGGTGCCAAAGGGGACCCGGAGCCCTGGCCCGGTCCGGAGCCACCTTACCCCCTGGCCTCGCTCCACGAAGGCCTCCCGGGAGCCAAGCCGGCCGGTGGGAGTGGGTCCGCAGGCCTTGGAGGCTCCCCGGTGGTAGCAGGAAACCTGGCTGAGCCGCTGTACACCAGCAACGCCTGCGGGGGCCCGTCGGCGGCCACCGAGTACGCGACGGGCTACGGGGGCGGGTACCTGGCGCCCGGCTACTGCGCACAGACGAGCGCTGCGCTGGCCCCGCCGCCCCCGGCCGCGCTCCTGCAGCCTGCGCCGCCGCCCGGTTACGGGCCCTCGGCGCCGCTCTACAACTATCCGGCCGCGGGCTACCCCGCGCAGCCCGGCTACGGAGCGCTCCCGCCTCCCGCCGCGCCCGCTGCGACCTACCTGCCGTCGGGTCTGGCGGCGCCCACGCCCCTGCCTGCCCCCGCGCCGCCCCGGCCCGCGCCCTACAGCTTCCCCGCTGCCGCCACAACCGCTGCCACCGAGGGCGTGTCGCTGAAGCGCAAGGCGGTGGACGAGGGCGCGGAGGCACGCTACCGCAAGTACGCTTACGAGCCCGCCAAGGCTCCCGCGGCCGACGGCGCCAACTACCCCGCCGCGGACGACGCCGAGTGTCGGGGCAACGGGTTCCGCGCGAAGCCTCCCGGGGCCACGGAGGAGGGGACGGGCAAGTACGGTGGCGGCGGGGGTGCTCTTAAGGTCCTGGGCTCCCCCGTCTACGGCCCGCAACTCGAGCCCTTTGACAAGTTCCCTCCCGAGCGGGTCCCCGCCACCCGCGGGGGATTCACGGCGCCGTCGGGCGAGCCACCCAAGGGTGTGGATCCAGGGACCTTGGAGCTGGTGACCAGCAAGCTGGTGGACTGCGGGCCCCCGGTGCAGTGGGCAGACGTGGCGGGCCAGGGCGCGCTCAAGGCGGCGCTGGAGGACGAGCTGCTGTGGCCCCTGCTGAGGTCTCCCGCCTGTCCCGGAAGCGCTCACCCGCCACGGACCGTGCTGCTCTTCGGGCCCCATGGCTCAGGCAAAGCACTGCTGGCCCGTTGCCTCGCCACCCAGCTGGGCGCCACGCTGCTGCGCCTGCGCGGGGCCGGCCTGGCCGCTTCGGGTGCAGTCGAGGGCGCGCGCCTCCTGCAGGCGGCCTTCGCGGCTGCGCGCTGCCGCTCGCCCGCCGTGCTGCTCATCAGCGAGCTGGACGCGCTGTTGCCGACGGCGCGGGACGACGGGGCGTCGCTGCGGGCCCCGCTGCTGGCCTGCCTGGACGGAGGCTGCAGCGCGCGAGCCGACGGCGTGCTGGTGGTGGGTACCACCTCGAGGCCCGCGGCCCTGGACGAGGCCACTCGCCGGCGCTTTGCGCTGCGCTTGTACGTGGCGCTGCCTGACGGTGCGGCGCGCGGGCAGATCCTGCAGAGGGCGCTAGCTCAGCAGGGCTGTGTGCTGAGCGAGCGGGAGCTGGCCGCCCTGGTGCAGGGCACCCAGGGCTTCTCCGGAGGCGAGCTGGGGCAGCTGTGTCAGCAGGCAGCGGCTGAGGCGGGCCTTTCTGGACTGCAGAGGCCCCTTTGCTACAAAGATGTGGAGGCTGCTCTGGCCAAGGTGGGCCCTCGGGCTTCCCCCAAGGATCTGGACTCGCTAGTGGAGTGGGACAAAATGTATGGTTCTGGACACTGAGGGTGGTGTCGGGAAGGCCACCTCCGCCTGAGGCGATGATGTCCTTGATTGGCCCAAGGAGTGATGAATGTGGTATGGAAGAGAGGAGCGCTCTGCCGGTCGATTTGTTTTTCATGGGAAGGAAAACGCTTCTGCCAGGCAGATCGATGACATGTGCACCGTGTACTCAGGTTTCTCCTATTTATTGTGGATGGGACGTTCGCCATTTTTACCCGGCAGACCGGGCACACCCGACATGAGCTAGGGAACTCCGTCCCTCTCTCCACAATACTTTTGTCTCCTTCCTTTTTCCTTTCCCTCCCTTCTCTGTAGTATTGGTTTAGTTTTCTCCCTAAGGCTTTGGCTTCTTCTGCCCCCTCCCGCCCCCTACCACCCTTTGTGCTTTTCTGTGTAGCTAGCTCTGTGTGTCCTGGACGCTGGGCTTTACTCCTCCCTCCCCCCTGTTCTCATTCACACTGCAGTGTCTCTTGGCAGAGTTCCTTTGGTCCGGAGGCTGAGAAGGGGGGGAGTAGGGAGCCCCCACAACCCCCTTAGTACATCACCCACCCGAAATCTTGGGTCTTTGGAGTGGGAACGAGGGGAAAAAACACCCAAAGAAGGGTTTTGTTTTGGTTTTTGTGGTTTGTTCATTTTTGAGGGGAAGTCCCAGAAATGTAGGTTGCTTAATATTTTAGGCCTCTTATTTTTGTAAGATGTGTAGGATTTGTTGTTTTTCGTTTTATTTTGACAACTCAGGAAGAAACTGACCTCAGAAAGAATGTTAAACTTTGCCTGCTCTCCTGTTATTCCCCAGACCCACCCCAGGGGAGCAGATTCTCCCAGACCAGAGAGACTTGGGGCTGATGAGGAATACCAGACATGAGCCTCAGACTACTGTTACTGGAAAAGAAGCAGAATGTGATAACTAAGGGCTTCCCCCTCAGGCCCCACCCAGCCTGCAGGATGGGGGTGGGGGCAGGGACTCCAGAGGGTGAGCCAGGCTTGCTCCTTTCTTGCCGCTGTTCTATACTGTGGGCCCCAATCCTCCACTCCAGGTTGTCTGTGAAGGTTACAGAGAGTTGGGGTGCTCTTGCCAGTGTCCTGCCTCCGAGGTGACTCAGGTGGGACATTCTCAGGCCACCTCACTGGACACTTGCTAGGTCAGAGGCCCCCTATCCAAAATAAGAGGATTCCCTCAGGAATGAAGATGGTCTAGCCAGGAGTCTGGCTGGACACATACTGACTACTAGGAGCCAGGCCACCTGTCCCTCTGGGACCTGTCAGCAGGCAGGCAGAGAAAGCTCTGTTGGGTAGTGTGTTTACTTGTTTCCCTAGAGTGTCAGGCCTGGAGATTACAGGCTATTTTCCCACACAGAGGGACTAGAGCCCTTCTCTGCAAGCCCTATCCATTCCCTTGCTGTTCATTCCCTTAATGGGGCACCGGCTGTTTAGCTCTTCAGACTGTTTCACAATCTTTGATGCAATGAAGGGCCACTCCCATCGTTGTTCCACCTTTGTCCCTACAGTTCCTAGTCCCCTTCACTTTCCAGTTGCCAAGGATGGCATGAGAGCCTCGGCAGGGCCAGGTGCTGAGGGCAGGTGCTAGCCTTGAGTGTGAACAGGGAATCTGCTGTGCCTCCTTCATCCTTGTTCTCTCTAAGCCTCTCCTTGGAGTCACCCAACCGAGGGCAGGACTCAAAGCAAGTGGCTCAGAGTGCTGCTGCCAAGAGACCCTTGGTGGGAACATGGAGTAAGGGGGCTCTCTCAGGTCTGGGGGTGGGGTGGGTGGGGTAGATGGGCAGGGAAGTGGAGTTGGGAAGGCAGCTGTCCCTTCAAGCAGCAGCACCTCTAGGGGGCTGAATAGAAGTCCATGGACCCATCCTAGGGTCCCCACACTTCTTTGCTGGGCTCTTTCTGTTCCCAGGTTTGGAAGCTTTGCACAAGAAGACAGCCCCCGGTTGCAGCACCTACCTCATGAGCATGGGGCAGGATGGTAGGGCACGTCTAGCCCTAGCAATGTTGGGGGCATACCAAAGAATCCAGGGGTGGAGTGCAGGGGTAGGGTGCAGGGGTGGGGTGTAGCACGCCCTGCAGGGGAGGCACACTGGCCATCCACTCCCTCTGCTAATATTGGATTGGGATCCTCTCCTTCAGCTGTAACCATTTCTACCTCATTTTGCTGTGTGTTGTACATGGGCATATTTATCTCCTGTCTGATAATGCTCTGCAGTTGTGGTCTGTCTACCTCAGAAGAGACTGTATTTTAAAAGAAAATATTACACAGTATTAAAGTTATGATGTGTGGCATTTGAAGGATTTCTTGGGGGTTGTGGGATGCGGGAAGTGTTGGCTACTCAGGTCTGTCAGTGCCCTGGCTGTGGCTCTGGGTGTTTCTGTTCCCTCAGCAGAAAGTTATGGAACTTTGCTCTTCAGGCCATGCCAGTGGCTCAAGGTCACATATAAAGAGCCTTCCATCCTGACTGATTGACTGTATCCCTAGACTCTGGAGTATAAGGAACAGTGAAGTGTGAACATGTTTGTTGAATGAATTCATGAACAAAGGAGGGCTGAAGAAGAAGAGGAACCCTTAAGACCATGACAGCAGCCCTGGTTGAGGTGAAGGTCATACTTATCTTCCACAGGGTGGAGGGGCAAGGTGTGGAGGCATCCAAAGCCCAGTTTTCAGGCCATGAGGCCCCTTGTCCATTTCCTCACTGTCTTTTAGTCCCAGTTATCTCTGACAGCTCACAATAAACCGATAAATGGAAAAATTAGGGACACTGTGGAGAGGCTGGGATCTCAGGGCCTTGCCTGCCACAGACCAAGGAGAATGGCATGCTGGGTTCCCTCTTAGGGTTCAGTATGAGCTCACAGGAGGCGAAACCAGAAGCAGCCACTGGAGGCACAAATGGGATATTTCCAGGATTCAAAGAGCTCTACCTTTTGGTCCTTGGAGGTCCAGACATGTCCTCCTGCAGCTTATCATGTACCTATTGTATGATGACATTGTGGGGATGCTGAATAAAACCACCTACCCAAACTTCCAAGGACACCCCTGAGAAGCCATAGTGGGGAGAGTCCTCCAAATGGATCCTATAAATATATAACTGAAAAGCAGGTAAGGGTACTGGGGGTGGATTCTAGCAATCTTCTCACGGCTGGTGCAACTGTTTGATTTTGATATAGTCACTGGAGATTTCTGTTGAGTAGACCCTGATATTTCTAGAGGAGTACTCCAATGAAGAATTCAGGGCTTCTCTCAAGAATGCCCAAAAGGAGCCAGGTTGGTGGTGGCCCACACCTTTAATCCCAGCACTCAGGAGGCAGAGGCAGGCGGATCTCTGTAAATTCAAGGCCAGCCTGATTTACCTACAGATCAAGTTCCAGGCCAGCAAGCACTGTTACACAGAAAAACAAAACCAAACAGAATGCCCAAGAGGGCTAAGGAGATTGCTCAGCAGGCAGAGTGCTTACCATGCAGACGTGGAGACCAGAGTTTGGGTCCCCAGGACCCATGTAAATGCTGGGCTGTAATTCCAGCCTTTGGAAGGCAGAAGTAAGGGATCCCTCAGAGTAAGATGGCTAGCTGGACTAACCCTATCAGCGAATTCTGGATTCAACTGAGAGACCCTGACTCAAGGAATAAGGTGGAGAGTGATTGAGCCTGTGAGGCTCAGGCCTGTACCAGTACACACACAGGTGCTCTCACACCACACACAGACACATGGGGGAGAAAAAAAGAAAGAAAAAGGAAAAAGAAAGAAAATACCCACAAGTGGCAAGTCAGGTATCTTCCCAGGAGGGAGAGGTAGAGGTCAGCAAAATATGGAGACTGGAGAGGACATTGTTGACATCCTTCATGTTTGTTACAAGAGCAAGACATGGGGGCAGGAGTGGGGAGTCCTGAGGTTGGAGAAGTCAGGTAGGATGCTAAGTTACCCTTAAGTACCCTCTGCATGTGGGTTGGACAGGTGGCTGTGGACAGGAGACTGGTTTCAAAGAATTCACACTCTGTCAACAAACCTTTGCTCAACACTTACATACTGGTCACTATTGGGACAAAGTGGGGACCTGAGTCTTAGGGTGAGACAGTAAAAGGTCTAGCTGCAGTGTGTTGGGCATGATGGTGTGTGTGGAGATACTTAGAGATGAGCTATGATGTGTGTGGGCAGCGTGTGTGGCCCCCTGAAGACATGAGATAGCAGGGTCCACCATGAAGGCCAAAATGCCGGACTGTGGACCAAACCACAGTCAAGCCATCTTGGTAAAAGATGTGTTAGGTAAGTGGGGGCCCAAGTATGTGGGGATGGGAGAGCCGGGAATTTGTCCAGTCCTGAGAAGATGAGGGTTTAGACTAGCAGATGTGAGAGCATCTGGGAGAATCTAGGCCTTGACTGGAGAGCGCCCAGAGCATCTGGTACAAATCTACATACATGAATTAGTTTAGATTAGGCATCTGAATATAAAGCTCGTCCTGTCACCCAGTCCCATGGGTTGGGTCACCAGTTCTGTCTCTCCACCAGAGGCTGCTGGGAGCTTCTTTCCCTAGACCCTGTGGCCCCTGATTTCTCTCTGGCAGGAGCGTTCCACGTTCCACACACGTCCCTCGCCCCTGCTCCGCCACAATCCCCAGCCTTGAGGCATTCGGAGCCCCTCCCTCAGGCCCAGCCATGGTGTGGGCGCTGGTCCTGGCTCTCTGCAACCGGGCACTGGCCCCCACAGGTGCGCTGGACGCCATGGGCCCTCATGCAGCCGTCCGCCTGTCAGAGTTGCTGACCCCGGAGGAGTGCAGCCACTTCCGATCGCTCCTTGAGGCGCCAGAGCCTGACCTGGACGCGGAGTTTGCCCGGCTATCTGAGGACCGGCTGGCTCGCCCCGAGCTGCTCACACCCTCTCCGGGAAAACAGGGCACCGTGGGGCAAAGGCGGCGGGCAGCAGCTACGCAGTCTTCGGAGGGGCCGAAGGGCGCGCCAGCCGAGTTCAGGGAGGTTTCCGACGGCTGTCGCGAGGCGCTGGCGTCCTGGTTGGCTGCCAAGGCCCCTGCCCTGTCGTGGGACCGCATGGCCCGAGCCCTGCGACGCAGCGGCCGTCCCGATGTGGCGCGGGAGCTGGCCAAGAACCTCCACCAGCAGGCGACGTTGCAGCTGCGCAGGTCGGGCGCGAACTACATGAAGCCGCCTGTGGCTCCTGCCCCCGCCCCGGCACCGCGCGACCGCCGCGCTGCGGTCCCCGAGCCCTCCTGGGACGACCTAGAGCTGATCGTGGAGCGCTTGCCGCAGCCCCCATACACGCGAAACCCAGCAGCCTGGATCGGGCCATTGGCTCTAGGCCTTCTCTCCGGCTTCGTGGGCGCGCTGGGCACCGGGGTGCTGATCACTGTGCTCACGCTCTGGATCGCCGGCAGCGACGGCAACCCTGCGCGACCTCACGCCCCTGCACCGCGCCCTAAATCCCGGCCCAAACCGGCCCCGGCGCTCTGTCGCTGGGAAACAGAGCAGCTCCTGCCTGGAGCCTGGGCACCGAGGGGGCGGTCCCCCAACCACGGGGCCCCACTACTATAAAGTTTCCAAAGGATGTGGAGGGCGCAGTTTGTGGCTGGTTGAATGGAAATGGGTGGTGCGGGCCTCAGGAGCGGGCTCAGGGGTCCCCAGAGCTGTCCCCCATCCCATGCCAAGAAGCTGCTCACTTCTCCATATGGGGCGCAGCCAGACTCTTGACCCCAGAGCTGACTGGCAGGCAAGTCTGTGCCCCAGAGGCCGGTGGGTGCCTGTGCAAGGAGCTCGGGTCCTGCTGGAATGTGCAACGCCACTCTGTCACTCTTCAAGGCCTCCTGAAGACCGGTGGGGACCTCACACTTTCCCACCCACCCTGCCATAGCCAGGCAGTCCCAGGGCCAGGGGTTTGGGGGCAAAAACACTGACAGAATGACAGGCCAGTCCAAGAGGAGAGTTGAAAACAAGATTGACGTAACCCTTTATTGCAAATTCTAAAGTAAAAAGATGTACAGTACAAAGTAAAATTGAAAATTCAGACTATAAACTTCCAATCCACTTATACATTCTCATTTCTCAAGCATTTCTGCCATTTCCGCATAAACAAAACAGGGGACAAGTCAAGGGGGTAAGGAAGGAGATACAGCAAGGGGGAAAAATTAGAATCACAAACCCCAGAAGCAAGTGCAAGGAAAGACATTTCTCGACCTGCTGTCCTGGTGATGAGAAGCGGGGGAGGGGAGTGGAGCGGTGCAGTTTAAAATGGCTCTCAGAATAGCAGCGTTTATGGTACTAGTTCATCTTCCTCAAGTCCAAAGTATACTTTGCCCTTCCCTGGCGCCTTGGTCTCTGTATCTCAGAACACTTTACAAAACATCTAGTTAAAGCCTCACAACACCCCTGTGAGGTAGGTCAGTATTATTACCCCCATTTTACAGATGGGGAAACTGAGGCACAGAGAGGTTAAGTGACTTGCCCAAGGCCACACAGCGAGCCAGTGGTCAAGCTAGGGATGGAACACGTTCTGTCCCTCTTCTGGAACCACTGGACCACACTCCCCTTTACCTATGTACATTCTTCACACACACACACACACACACCACATGTGCACACCTGCCCACTTGGCCCCACTTAGCCTCTATGTACAGCAAACAGCAGTGGGATCAGGGGCAGAGGTGCCTCAGGAGTGTTGTAACAGAGAAAGTCTTGAGAATGGGTCCAGGCTGCACTAGCCATGGTGCAAGTCTTGGCCTCACACCCAGACTTCCTCTTCTCCCGACGCCCCCTGCCCCCCCACTGACTGGTGGCAGCTGATTCTTTAGGCGGTGGGGGAGTACCTGAAAATGAACGAAGCTTTTTGCAAAACTTTGGGCAACATCTGAGAAAAGAAAGAGGCATCGTTAGGGAAGATGCCCAGGACTCAAATCGCCGAGTCCTAACCCTCCACAGAAGGCCTGGAGGTTGGGGCTGAGGGACAAGGATGGGGACTGACCTACCAGCCATCTCTCTCCAGTTCAGCTTCTAGAGTGGGCACTTCAAGACCCTCCTGAGTGTCCCTAGACCAGGAGACACAGCCTGGAGAGGGATGTTCCCAAGGGGTGCCCCCTCCCCTGCACAAATGTGAAGGGGACAGCCCCAGTCTGGGATTATGGGAGTGGACGGAGGGCATGGCCCAACACTAGCTTGTGGAGGGGAAGCTGCTGGGCAGCGTGCTTGCTAGCTTTGAGGGATGGGAGTAGCTTTTTCTTAAGTCATTTCCATGAACAAGACAGAAGTAAGGCCAGTCCAGCTGGGTTGGTTGAGGCCATCTCTGGGGGCTCTGCTGAGGGAGACAGCTGAAGGAGGGGTCCAGCCTAAGGGGTAATGCCAAATGCAGTGGCAGCAGGTATCTGGGGACCTGGACCTGGCTTTTTTTCTGCAGTCTCTACCTAGCCCTGCTCTCCTCTTCTCAAATGCTTCAGGGTCCGGTTCCCAGACCCCTCCCAGAACTCGAGGATGGGCAAGTCAAACAACAGACACACACCAAGACAGGCTTCCCTTGTGTGGTAAAAAGGGTCGTTTTTATTTTGTTTCATTTTGGCTTATAGTAATTGACTTTTTTTAAAAAAAAAATCATGTCTCGTTTAGTGCAGCGTTGGCCTCCATGCATTCACTAACACTCTATTGGTCTTTTACAGTTTGCATTGGCTGTGGAGACAAAATGAAAGAAACCCTTTGGGCGCAGTAGCTCCAGGGCCCTGATAGGGAGCTTGTTTCCCCTCTGCCCACAGCTTCAGATGCCCAAGTGGCTCGGGGCCAGAGAGTGAAGGCAGGCCACAAGGACTTGGGACATTTCCCTGCTCTCACCCTCTGCTCTGGTTCCAGTCTCCTCACCCTCAGCCACAGGGAAGTTAAGGAAGAGGGGGGTTATTTTCACACAACCAGCAGTCATGGTGGCTACTGCTCAGGGGCTTTGGCTCTGCGTTTTTAAATGAACAGCATCACATGACTGTTTGCTTTTTTCTTTTTATTTTATTTTTTAAAGGAGGACTGTGGAATATAAATACTGCACCAAGGACCTGCTACAAAAAATAAATATTTATATTATATTTATATATCTATATATATATATGTGTGTGTGTGTGCAGTGGTACTGGCTGCTGCTGCTGCTCTTTGATTGGTGGGCTTCGTGAATATTTGGCAAAGCATTGCCACTTGCTCACTCTGTGAGGACACGGAACAGAACAAAATGAAACCAACCGAAAACTGCCATATCTGGTTCTTTAGGGTCAATGCCTGTTAATTGCGGGTGTGAACTGCTGGTGATGGTGTGGTTTACAAGAAAAAGTGTGGAGCAGGGTGGTGAGAGAGTAGGGACAGAGGGAGTGGCTGGGTGGAGGGAAGGGGATGAGGGGCAACAGGGGGAGAGGTCTAATCAGTGGGCTGGGTGGCTTCTTCCTGGGAGTTCTGGAGGGTGTGAGATATGGGAGGGAGGTGACAGCCCGCTGGGTTGGGTCAGGAGCTGGGGGAAGACGTCAGATCTAGGCTCTAGTAGCTTAACATTACTAGCATGGCGCTTGGTGTTCTTAGCAGATCAAATAGCTGTTGCCCATCTCAAGATCTAAGATCAGTGATTAAGTTTAGCCAAATCTTGCATAGAAGTGGTTAGAATTTATTGCACATTGGAACAAAAATATATATATATGTATATATTTTGTTGTTTTGGAAAAGACCAGTAGCAATAAAAAAAATTTTTTTTTGTCTGTCTGGTTGGGGTGTACATTGGCTGACAGCATCTGGTTCTAAGAAGAAAGGAAAGTATAAAAAATAAAAATAAACATGACAATGGCATAAGCCAGAAGCCATTTCCTATTTAATAAGATAGTAATTTGTATTTACAAAAAGGCATGCCAATAAAATAAAATTATATATTACAGTATTTATAATTCTCCTAAAAAGAATAACCACGCGTCAGCTTCTGTTTTGTGCTGTTTATGCCGGTACGTGGCTCTCCACATTCGTCCTAGCAGGCAGCAGGGGCACTGTCACACTTCCCCAGCTGGTCTTGGCAAGCTGAGGACAGCTGGACAGTGTCTACTGGTCCAACAGGAGAGAAAGCCCTGCTCACTGACTGGCTGTGGTTTGTTCTATTCAAAACTAGTCAAGTGAACTGTGGGATTACATCCAAAGTGCTTCTACTGCAAGGCAGATTGGTCTAATGTGTCTGGTGGTGGATGGCTCGCTTCCCTCTACCCTATGCTCAGGAAGGATGATGTTGACTTGGTTCTGAGACTCTCTGACACTCCAGTGTGGCATCTTGGCTTTGGAACTTTGTGGTCAGGTGAGACACCCTGGACTAAGAGCTGTCTTCTGAAAAGCCAGAGATGGAATGGAAGGTATGGCGCTCCCCCAGAAGCCATCCCCCCACAACAGTGGGCAGGCCACTAAGCAGAAAGTAAGGTGGACAGAAAGGAAATGCCAGGGAAGCTGCAACACCTGAAAGAATTAATACAGAGTCCCTTTCTCACAAAAGCCAGCGCCCTAACAAGACCAAGTGGGCTTGGCCCAGAGGCGGCCCACCTCTACCTCAGTTCCTGCTAGTGACCATTATTTTGAAGATCACAAACAGAAGAGCCCACACCCACACCCCAAGCAACACTGCTGCCCATACCCAGCCCTGGACAGCTGGGAAGGGAAGCCCTGCTGGCTGGAGGAATGTGATGGAGGCAGGAAGAACCCGCAGATGGGAGTGTGTGACAATCCCTCTACAGGTTCAGAATATCTTAACCCCTTTCCATATCTACCCTGAGCTTGAGAAAAGCCACAATTCAGACAGACATGACACCAAATGAAGTAAGCACCCCATAACCCCCAGAGAAAGGTTTCTGTAAGTCCCCCCAAAGGCCTCCTAGAGATAACATGCTACTATTAGTAAATAGCACTTTTATCTCTACCCCAAGTGTCAGTTCTCCAGGATGAAGGCTAAACAATCATAATATTGCAAGATACAAATGAATTATTTTTCTATTTTTTTTTTTTTTTTTTTTTTTTTTTTTTAGCCCTAGGATTTGGTTTTACAGTGACATTAATAGTACAAGCCATTCGGGGCCAAAGTCTCCCCATGTACTGGACAGAGCAGCATTAGATAGTTTACCTTGCAAAATGTGCAACAATGGCTGTATGTTGAGATGTCTGTTAAACATGTACACACAACGGATCCATCTGCTTGTTGGGTTGGATTGTTTCTGTTGGTGGTGGTGGTCAATTGATTAGTTATGGTTCCCTACCCGGAGGTGTATGAAAGACTTCTAAGAACTCAGAATTGCAGCCGGTATGGAACGCTTACCATTTCTCCAAATACAGTGAATGGTGCAGGGCTGGGTCCCGTCCAAAGGCTGACCCAATGCAGGGGACAGGATTAATAGTGTCTTGTGGTGAATGGATCTCATGCATGACTCCTGATCACAGCATGCCATCATGCAAATCATTTCTACGCATTGAACGAGCACAATATTTGGAATTGGCCTGAGCAAGTCCTCCTCAGCCTGAAAAAAACCTGATTGTTTCCCCCACCCATCTCCAAACCACGT